AGTTAGCATAAATCAGTTAAATGACGAAAAATTAGGTGTCTATTTACTTCTGACCACTCAATGTACTAGAGGTAACCCACAATCCCCATAACCTTCTGTATCACCTACCCCACCCAAACAAAAAAGGTCTTGCCTTACGGTTCTTGAAAAGTGCCTTCTTTTGTTAATGACCCCTGATCTTTTAATGTCTTCTGCACATTACTGCTTGTTGTATAGTTTTGTGCTTAACAACAAAACAAGCAAACAAAACAAAATATTGTAAAAGCATACTCACGCTAATTCATGGTGTTGACTTTTAGAATGTTGTTAGTTTTCTGAAGAGTTTATTTATAACTTACCCAGTATGATGACTTACAGAAAGCTTGCCCACGGACAGACATGACAGAAGTAGTAATTACTTTAGGCTTATTGTTGATCTCCCTACGTTTAACTTGACGATAAGAAAAAATAATCGTGGTTTCTTCTTCAGGTTTGTTGTTCTTCTAGTAAATGTGGACTACGAGTCAGAGTCAGTAGAATTATCCATCGAGGACGTATTTTACAAATTAGGATCAAAGCCACAGACGCAACGCAAAGTTCTCCCTTGCCGAAACGACTAGGCAAGCGTTTCAGGTTAGATTAATTTTATGAGATCGGTTAAAATGTTTAACAGTTTTTTAGTAGCAGAACTCATAGATCTGGATTACACAAAGTGTCACCTCGCGAAACGACGGAATTGGTTTACACACTACGAACCGTACAAATTTCTTCGCGGTAGTTTAAAACATTGGACTGAAAAAAAAACACATAAGTATATTGGAACTTAAGTCGTTGGGCGTTCAGATTTGCAGAATTATCTATCTAATTCGTCAGGCTAGTCAATAAAGTCTACACTACGCAAAGTTCTTCCTTGCCGAAGCGTAGTAAGATATTTTTTTTAATTTCTAGAAAGAAGAAGCGTAACTTTATAAAAACCAGTGTGTGTTAATCAAACGAAGCATGCCTATATATATACACACACTGCGCAAAGTTCTTCCTTGCCGAAGTGCATATATCACACAGGACCAACTTGTGCACTTTACCAACTTCGAAGATCGATCGAAAACAACTTGCATTATTACTTAAAGAGCAATCTAGATCTCCAATGTAATCTTCTGACGTATCATTCCGCGTGACTCTCTGTCTGATAACTGACCCACTTAACGACACAATAGGTCTGCTGATAAACAAACTTATTCCTTACTTAGATGTTGTGAAATACGCAATCGTAACTAGTTAACCGTGATCGTAGCGAAATAAACGAATTCAATTGCTTTGTTTATTCTATAAACTTAAACAATTACAGACTGAAGTACAAGCATGCAATTGCTCAATGTCGATAAAAGATAAAAATATTACCTCTAATAATACATTTTTTTTCATTACTGCTTGAAGACCATGCTTTACAATGACTTAATGTGACAGACTAATCAAAATACTAAATTTATAGCTATATACTATTAAATGCTCCCCAGGTGGCTTAACGACAAGCTCGAGAGCTTATAACGCAAAAATTCGGGATTAAATTTCTGCGATGGACACAGCGTAGATAATACATTGTGCATCTTTTAGTTTAACGACAAATTCAACATTACAGGCAGTGTGTACCTTGAAATCTAGCATAATACGCTTGTATAAATTCAGGAAAATGCCGGATAAGCAACAGGATCATGTTTTATTCTTTGAAAGTAATAATACCCGTTAATATATTTAAAACTGACTGTTTTGCTTTAAACTGTAAGTAATAAAACCACAACAGGTGATACAGTTAATTTGTTTGAGTTGTTACCTCAGTCTGCATGTTGATTAACAGTCTGTCATTTTAACAGAATCTGTGTTCATTATTGGCCATAAAATAATTGGCTATATATATATATATATATTACATTGATCCTGGTAACTTTTTTGGTTCTATGAAAAATTCTACGTTTAGAAGATTGTCCTGTGTCTTTCGAGCTTTTTTGTTGCCATAAATGTGTTATTGGTAGTATGCCATATTGCTTTTCTTAATAAACAACAATACAGTATACTGTAAAACAAGTGTAAGACTTTCAACTTGCTTTTTTTTATAAACCCAAGTTTATAATAACAATTGTAAATCTTAATGTTAAATGTAACTTTAAAAAGCACAAATCTTTACCTTTGTTAATACATTACTTGATTTAAAGAACCACAAATTGTCGCGATCGGTGCTTCTAACAGCTTTCCCTCTTGTCAGTGGCAGTAACAGAGGGAAAATGGAAATGGTTGACAAAATCGTAAAAATGAGAACATAAAAACATTGGAAATTTTAAACCTTAGGGTCTTTGACCTACCGTTCAGTCCACGTGCACATAAAGCACCGTAGAGGCTGAAAATTTCTACTCCTCTTCAATATTGTTTGTTTATTTGTAATTAAGCACAAAGCTACACAATGGGCTATCTGTGCCCTGCCAACCACGGGTATCGAAACCCGGGTTCTAACGTTGTAAGTCCGCTGACATACCACTGTGGGGATTACAGCGCTAAAATCCGAGGTTTGATTCCCAGCGGTATACGCAGCGCAGATAATCATTGAATAGCTTTGCATTAAACAACAAAAACAAAACAATCAACTGCTGGTAATAACAAACAGAAAAAAAATAATTACTGATCTATAAAAACAGAACTTCATGAAAATATTTTGTATCTATAATATTATATAATTATAATGTTTCGCTTTAATTGGTTAAAACTGATAATAAAACAATGTCCAAATGTTATAAAACTTGTACCTCTATAATAATAAAGATAAATTTCTAGTATGAGTCTGAGGATCCCACATAAATAGTTGTTGAAAAATAAAACTTTAGTTTGTTTAGAATTTCGCGCAAAGCTATCCGTCTTTAATTTGGCAGTGATAGACAAGATGGAAGGTAGTTAATCAACACCTCCCATCGCCAATTCTTGGGCTACTTTTTTTGACAACGAATAGGGGGATTGACCGTCACTTTATAACATCCACACGGCTGAAAAGGTGAGCATGTTCGATGTGACGGGGATTCGAAGCCGCGATCTACGGATTGCGAGTCGAACGCTCTAACCATTAGACCATTCCAAGCTAAAACTTTAGAATATCTTTTGTGAACATCAATTATATATAGTCGCTTATAAATATAAGTCTCTTGGCCAGGCATGACCTAATAGTTAACGTGTTCGAACTATGAACCTGAAAGTTCATGGTTCGTGTTCTGTTGCCGCAAGATGTAAACTTTAGGGCTATAATAGTGACAGCCTAAAACCAACTGCTTGTTTGTTTGTTTTTGAATTTCGCGCAAAGCTACACGAGGGCTATCTGCGCTAGCCGTCCCTAATTTAGCATTGTAAGACTAGAAGGAAGGCAACTAGTCATCACCACCCACCGCCAACTCTTGGGCTACTCTTTTACCAACGAATAGTGGGATTGACCGTCACATTATAACGCCCCCACGGCTGAAAGGGCGAGCATGTTTGGTCGCGGTTTGAATCGCCATCCCACTAAACATGTTCGCCCTTTCAGCAGTGGGGGCGTCATTATGTCAAACCCACTATTCGTTTGTAAAATAGTAGCCCAAGAGTTGGCGGTGGGTGGTGATGACTAGCTGCCTTCCCCCTAGTCTTACAATGCTAAATTAGGGACGGCTAGCGCAGATAGCCTTCGTGTAGCTTTGAGCGAAATTCAAAAACAAACAAAACAATAAAGTTGTTCTTATTGCAATTACCATTAAGTCGTTCAATGGATCTTGTGGATTGTGGTTAGAAGCTTCCTTCATTGTTACAGTATGTCACTAGAAGTGTCAGGACTAACTGGTATAGCTTTGAAATTTGACTGTGTGCATCTAGCAAATTACCCTTGCTCAGAAACAGAGAGCTGGTGGATTAAGACACTCTCTCAAGTTTGTATTCCTGCTTTACCATTTATGAATTGTCATCTCCTATACAGTAAGTTGTAAATTGGCTCAGTTGTTCCGATTTTTTAAACTGAAGAAGTGATAAGTTATATATATGTTTTAGCAGTGGCAATATTTCAGTGTTCAATTTCTCAATGAGGTTTTCAATACAAAGATTTAGGGCTACAAAATTGAATTTTGAACCAATGACAGTTTCATTTTGCCACATGTGATCCAAAGTTTTTGACAGCTCTCTTTCTCTGTGATCCTTTTGAAATTCTACCGGTTTTTTTAAGAAGTATCAGTCCACAACTCCTGAAATGTTTTCTCTCATCTTAGAGTCTCTACTTCAGATTGCTGTCCTCGTTCATTTCTGCTGCTCTACTGATGTCCACGTCATGGACTGAAGATAGTTGGAGACAACACCAATCACAGAAAGAATTCTGTTGAATGCTATCAGACAAAAACAAAAATCGGTCTTTGTTGGATGCCAGTGCTTCCTTATCAGTCGCTTCTTTGTCTAATGCACTATCACCCTGAATTTGGCATAGTGTATGTATAACTGAATCAAATGTGGAAAGCAACGCTTTGCAATTGCCAGTTCTCCTTGACCATCATTTCCACTCATTGATTTCAGCATCATCAATCTGAACTTGATGTAATGTCTATATATGTCTATGTAATGATTCATAAGTGGAAAGCAAAGCTTTGCAATTGTCAGGTCTTCCTGACCATTTTTCATATGTGTGTACAGCTGTTCAATGACTGCAAGTGTTCTTGGCAACAACAAGAAGATTGTATCTATATGTATAGCAGTGAACAAAATGTACTTTATCACAAGTCTTGCGGTTTATAGTCTGAACATCTTGATATGCACCAGACAGAACTGCACAACCATTATATTCTTGATCTCTCATATCGTATATTATGAAAAACGTTTTTGAGTTAATGTATGTTAACATATGGATGCGTTATTGATTTATACTTATTATCATCTTTAGACGTCTCATGGGTGCACAGCAGTTAGTATTTACAACATCAATAAAGATGACTTCGTACACAAGACTTGAATTAATACGCCTTATGCGCATATTTATTTACAATACATAGATAAGTCAAAGCCGACCCCTAGCATCATCACAACTCTCTTGCGTTAACAGAGTAAGGGTTTACATTGGATAAGAAGTACAATTCTGAGACAACAGCCAAAGAGCAAAATGTAATAAGCTCTTTTTTTAAGCCTTTGTTATACCTATTTATAAAAATATAAAGTGTACGATCAATAGAATCACACATATAAGTATATGTTAATGAAAAAAACAAGACATTTAAGTTGTTAACACCAATGTAAATAAGAAATACCAACGAAATTCTAACTGACCTGTTTTGGCGCCAGATACTTACTGTCCACCAACGCGTTCCCGTATGAAACTCCCGCAAATTAGTGGAAATAGATGAAGGATCATCTTCAAATATTAAATACTATTAAGAAGTGGGGTGCTTTTAACTTTTCTTATTGTTAAGTTTCGGATGTTATTTTCATTAACTTATTGTTTTCAATACACACAAATATTTTGCACAAGTAAAATAACATTGGATATTGATAAACATTTTATACATATCTCTATTTTCATTGAAGTGCAAGAAAAAATAGCATTTATATTTAGATAACATTTGTATATCCCAGTAAAGAATTTAAGAAACCAATAATCTTTATCTCAAACAAGAAAACACGCTACGCTAAAAAAATAATCAGACATGTTACACATGAGAAAATATTTACCATGCGTGCCTAAAGCATTCTAAATAAATGCCATGTGTCTGAGAAAATGTGTATCAAAGCAATGATTCTAGCACATGTCACAGGAAGAGAAACATCTTTAGCAATCTTCAAGCAAGTGCATTTAGCTTTTTACTTTGGAAACATACATCTCAGTAATTCAACACTGTGATAAGGCAATGGAAGTGAGATATAACGTTTTAGTAACTATTAAGAAAAATACATTGTCCCAGTTTGTACTTTTCTCTGCCTTTATTTTGCTAAATTGTTGTGAAAGTAGAATTGAGCACAGAAAAACATACACATACATATATATATATATATATATACCTATTTTACTAGCATACTAAAATGATGTTCTAAGAAAAATTAGTAACTTGAGAAATTCCACTTTAGAA